GATGGGGATTGGGTGGAGAGGAGGATTGGGTGGAGAGAAGTACTAGTCCCAACAAGGATCATCTTGTTTCCAGAAAGAAAGAAAATGGAAAATGAGGTTTAGTGAGTAGGAACACAAAATAAAAATCTCCAGACCTAATGGCAAGTGCAGCCGTGGGTAAGTTGTTAAAAACTTTATAAGGTTACTATACACACCCTGTAAAATGGGAATAAAACCCTACCATACAGAATCATGGAGATTAAATGAACATCCTGCAGGTAAATTGCTTAATCACAATGGTGCCAGGCAGATAATGGATATCCCAGAAGGGGACCTGAAAGAAGAGGACAAAGAACTCATAAAAAAAAAATAAGGAACTAAATATGTAACTCTATAAAATTAGAAAAATGCCTAGTTACCTAGCTGAAATGACATCTATACCCAAGATTTATTGTGAAACTATGAAGAATTCAAAATAAAGAAAGATTAAAATTGTTTAAGGGAATAAAACAGGCAACTAATGAAAGTATTCCCATTAGACTTGTGAAGAAATGAGGCAAAAAGAAAGCCTAAAGGTAAAAAAAAAATGGTATGATATATTGAAAATACTTAAAGATAAAAATGCCCACCCAAAAATGTTATATTCTTTAAGACTTTCCTTCAGAAATGAGGGAAAAATAAGGACCTTGCCAGACAAACAAGAGCTTAAGGAGTTTGCCAACACTAATATCTCTCTTACAAGAAATGCTAAATAGAGCTATTCTATCTAGAGAAAAAGAAAAAGATACATAAAAAATTAAACAAGGAAATAGAACCAGAAAAGTATATAAAAATGGCAGTAGCCAATCTTCATACATTAATAATCACCCTAAATGTAAATGGACTGAAAGCACCAATGAAAAGGCACAGAATGGCTCATTGGGTCAGAAAACAAAACCCATCTTTTTTCTAGCGCCAAAGAGAAAATGTAGGCTAAAGATAAATTGTTAAGAAGCAATTCAACAAGCAATTGGTGCTCAACAAAGGCAGGTACAGATAAAATATCAGGTAAATAGACTTCCAGTTAAAATGTAACAGACTGAAATCAATATTATAAAGGCAAAATGAAACAGTATCCATTGATGTGTCTGCCCATCTGACCGACTTCATGAAGCTGATGCAGAGCAGTAAGGGGCACTAACACATGCCAAGGACATGTCCAAATAGTTTACTATTCACTTTCTGAGTTCTTCACACATGTGCACGACTGCAAGACTACTGACTCAGGGAACAACAACAATGGGATTTTTTTAACAAACCAGGGAAAAACAAAGAGTTATTGAGGCCAAAAAATGGCCTTTACCTCACCAAAAGTAGTGTTCAGTGTTTTTCAGTCCTAAACAAAAGCAGATAAAATGGCTTCTACCTGCCACTGTGAACAAGGAGCACCTCTCCCAAACAATTGTCCATTTGCCCATAATGGAGTCTTCCCACCACTGAGCAGGGAGCATGGGTCAGCCAGACTTTATGCCAGGTTCCAACTCACAAAGACAGCAGAAGATGCAACAGGAGATGCTCCAAGAGATGCTGGGGTAATCTAGCACAGCACCAGACAAGCAACACTCAAAACAGCAGCTATAGCAGCTGAACTACACAGCAAATGGTCATATTCGTGCACCTCAGTGAGATGCCTGGCTCTGGGTCTTCATCTTCTCTGCCAGGCTGTAACAGCAGTGAAGCCAGGAATAGTTTCAGTTGCTGGGCTACTTCCAAAGCTTCTGAACTTTTTCTCTATAAGGTTGCCTGTTGGAAGCCTCTTCTCATTCGGAGGCCACAACAGCCTTTTGGAAGATCCATTGACCCCCAGATGCACCCCCCCATCTTATTTGGTTCTCTTATGTTCACAAGACCAAAAACTATAAAATATATAGAAGAAAATATAGGTAAAACACTACAAGGCTAATTAAAACTAAGCAACACCTTATTGACAGGGAAAAAATTCTTTGTACTCCATACAACAGATAAGGGGCTGATCACAAAGATACACAAAGAGGTCACACAAATCAATAAAAACAAAGCAGAACAACTTAAAAGGCACTTCTCCAAAGAGGAATTGTAAATGGCCAACAGCATATGGAAAGATGTTCAATATCCCTTATAATCAGGGAAATGCAAATCAAAACCATAATGAGATGCCAGTGAAAATGGTATATACAAAAAAACATACAAATGTTGGCTAGATGAGGTGAAAAAGAAACTCTCCTGCATTGGTAGTGGGAGTGCAAACTGGTACAACCACTATGGTAAGCTCTGTGAAGATTCCTCACACTACTAAAAATGTAGCTACTATATGATCCAGCAATTCCACTCCTAGGGATCTATACAATGGACACAAAAACATTAATTCAAAAAGATACATGCTATGTTTATCGCAACACTATTTACAATAGAAAAAAAGATAAACTCATGTCATTCTCAGCAACATGGATGGAGCCGTAAGGGATCATACTTAATGAAATAAGTCAAAAAGAAAAAGAAAATATCGAATGGTTTCACTTATAGGAAGAATTTATTTTAGTATTTTCCCTGGGGCTATGTATCCTCACCAGCAAACCCCTCCAGGAGCTGCTGCCTGTCACAGTCTTTTGGCTTCAGCCACCGGTCACAAAGTCAATGTGAATTTTAATATCCTCTCAGGTTTCCCCCAGTTCTTCCTTAACCCCATCAAGGACCCTTTCCTCCAGAAGTAGTAAGAGAGAAGTATAAAGGAGGCAGTCTAGTCTTGTACAGTGGAGATCCTTGCTCCCTGCCCTATGTTTCTTAAAGAAGATTTCAGTTCTCAGTGTTTTTCATCATTCTGGACAGAGGTGAGGTAATGAATCTTCTCCCCAGACTTGACATAATAGTATAAAAAGTCACAGTGTATGGAAGTCCTCAGATAGTTCTGAGGCAAATGAAGCCACATTATGTAAGGGAAAAATTTGTATCCCTCTCTCTATACTAGAACCAAAACAGCATCAAAAAAGATTATTCAATGGCAGCATTGTGGCATTTGTGCTGAGTCCAACACAAATGATTTTGTATCTGAAACCCAAAGTGACCTTTTCTAAGTGGCCATAGCCCTACAAAAGATAGAAAATACCACCTGATTGCCTGACATTTTCTTTTGTAAAATTCAAACATTCCTAACTTCAAATCAGCTATTGATTTGTTGGTTTGCAGGCCCATTGCAATTAAGTGAAGTCATATTCACTTCTCTTTTAAACTGTTGTTTAAAAACAACAGTTTTTACACCTCAATCCTCTCATATTCTCCTACTCTGCCTTGTTTAATTCTGTTAAAATATTGGAACGTTGCTTGTGGTTAAAAACTAACAGGATGTTGTCAAAGGCCCTGGATGTTATCAGAAGCCCAGGCACCAGCAGGACATTGCTTGAAAACTAACTGGATGTTATCAGAGGCCCTGGATGTTATCAGAAGCCCAGGTGCCAGCAGGACATTACTTGCCATTACCACCTGCATGAAGTAGGATCCAAGAGTGACTCATCCTAATGGACTACATACTTTGGAAATTTCCCAGCCCGCAAATTTCACTATATAAGACCCTCTGTACAGAGGCTAGGGGTCCATCCCGCCTGGGTGAGACCGCTGTGTCGGTACACTCTGGGGATAGGACCCTACCCTAGGCTAGCAATAAAGGTTTGTACTTGTCTTTTGCATCGGTTCTGTGTCTTGGCATTTCTTGGACTCTAACAATTCTGCCAACCAACAGGTAGTGTGGAGGGACAGTGCACAGAAAAAACAATTTTTCTAAATCTTATTCTTTAAAGGTCAAATTTATATACTCATTTCTTACTTTAAATCCATGCAGATACTACAAAAATCCTAGAGACAGATTTCTTGTGATTCTAGTCATCACCCAAATGTAATATGGGATTCAGTTAAGGTGAAGAGTTGAACTCCACCTGGGACAGATGGGGAAGATAGATGAGAGACTCAGGGCAAAGAAGTATGGAAGATATTGCTGTAGGATCAATGGGTTGAATGGTTTAAAGATAATCTTATTCTCTGGTGTGTGTGTCTGTCTGTCTGTCAGTCGGTCGGTCTGTGTGATATACCTGCAGTTGAGTGGTGTGTGATGTACCTGTGATTGTGTACCTGTATATATGTGATAGATGTATAGTTGAAGTTCATTGTTCAAAACTTTAAGCTGTACAGGTTGAGCTCCTGGAAGTTCACGGTACTCTGGTTAATCTGTTGAACATTTTCTTACAGCTAACCTGTTGAGTTATTTAGGAAAAGATAATAACTGGATGGATTCTTGATTTGTCATAACAAATCAGTAGTTTTGATTCTACTCATGCTGACATGCCTACTATCGCAGCCTCTGGTAATCGACTCTGTCTGGCAATCAGTCAGAAGGAAGTAGTGGGAGGCATGTAATGTCCTGTTCTATAATGTTATGTGCTATGGGTATGCAGTGCTCAAGTTCATTAATTCAGTAGAACATACAAGCAAAAAACAAATGGACCAACTTTAAGAGGAGACCATCAGAAAACTGAACTCTCCCTTTTTTTTTTCTATTCGTCTCTTGCAGCAAGGACAAGGAAAAAAAAAAAAAAGAAATTGCCCTATTGAACTTTCATATTTCCCAAAGGTAAAAAGACTAATTTGGTTCTGCATTTTTCTTGCTGCTTCCGTTGAAAATCAGCAGCTCCACCTCAGCTCTTAACTCCATCCTTACTGAATGGCCCAGAAAAAGCTCTTATAAAGAAGAATGTTGCTCTTTGACCTGATTTGACCATCCAGAATTAGTTCCCTGCCCATATCTAATATTTTTCTCTCCACTACACTTAAAGTAACCATATCAAGTGACACCTGATTTATAATCATCTTCTCTTGAGATTGAGTACTCTACATACCCCATTTCAGATTTTATAGATATTTTTATATGATCAGGCTAGTTATAGAGAATTGGAGGGAAGAAAATGAGTTTCTGCTGAAGGCTCTGATCTTTAGTGCCTTTCTTTCTGTCTCCTCAGCTCCATTTGGCAGCCCTGGCATCACTAAAGGGAGATATAGTGGAGCTTAATAAACGTCTGCAGCAAACAGAACGGGAACGGGACCTTCTGGAAAAGAAATTGGCCAAGGCACAGGTAAGAGATCTGGAATTATTTTATTTTAAGAAAAGGCATGACTTTGCAAATTTCATAAAAATAAATCACAGCTTCATGAGCAAACATTCATATAACAGTTGTGCAGGTCAAAAGTAGAATTTACTAGCATTTCAGAAGTCCCTCCTCTGTCCTATTCCAACACTATGAGCACTACCGTAAAATTATTTTAGTATCTCTGTTATTTTTTTACAATTTATCAACGAAATTTATATGTCCCTAGACAGTTTACTGTTGTCCATTTAAAAACTGTTCCCTTTGAATCTCTTAATCTACTGGATTGTCCCCCATTCTCTGTCTGCTTTATATTTAATTGATTAAAACTTGACCATTGACCTGTAGCATTCTGATCTGGATGTTTCTGGTTGCATACTCATGGTATAGTTCAGCACATTCCTCTGTCTCCAGTACATCCTGCAAATTGGCAGGTAGCTCCAGAAGCCAGCCAGTTCATAACCAATCCCTTTGGTGAGACTGATGTCATCTTTTGAGTTCGGGGTCCTTGGGTTCACTCTGGGAAAGGTTTCACCAGAGCTCCCTTTTCAGTGGCACACGGCAAGATTCTTTATGAGACAGAGACTCAGTTATATTTGAAGAGGAAGTTTATTAGAAAGAGACAAGAGAGGGAAAGACACTTGGATAGGTGCACGTGGGTAGGAAGAGCTGCCCTGAAAGGGACAGGTTTGCAGGGAAAGAGACCTGCATAGTTGCAGGCAGGCTGTTCTAGGAGAGCAGCCTCCATTGATGGAGGTCGGTACAGAGAAGTCCTGGCATGGTACAGGTCATGGGCAGGCAGGACACTGCTGCCCTGCAGAGGAAGAGTGGGTGGGGAAAAGCACCTGCATAGGCAGAGGTGGGCAGAGGAGCGACTGCCCCCCAGCTGGTGGAGAGACTGCCCTAATATAGACAGCCTCTCCCTGGGAGGGGCTCACTCTTTGTAAGCCTAGGTTTGTTGACTTTGAGTAGAATCTGAGAGGATGGAGATTCCCTAGTGAGCTTCATCTCCATATCCATGTCCTTGATTTTACCCGGGGTGCAGGCATCTGGCTTTGGTGCCCTGATTTTATGGCTGTGTCAATTGCTGCATTTGCCCCTACTACCTACCCTCTTTGTGTGACTCAGTCTTGTGATACCTCTCCTGCATTCTATCCTCCATCAACACCATGGAATATATTTGCTTTTTTCGGGGGGAAGCACATAATGCCTGGTTGTTTTATTCTGAGATGTTAATTGTTATTTATAACTCCGTACCCAAGATTATTAATCCATTAAGACATTTAAAATCATTATGTTTTAGTTCTAACATTTCTTTCTCAGTTATTATTTGGACTGTTTTTAGAGAGATCTCTCCCATCACCTATGATTACTTTCAACAGTAGTTTAGTGAGAAAATGTAGGATAAACACTTACTGCTTTTATTGACTGCTTTTCAAGATAATGAACTGATCACCTGTGACATTCTGAAATTGTCCAGTTTTTTTAAATACTGTTTCAATACACTAGTTAATTTCCTTGTAGAAACTCAAATTATATAATTTTTAGCCAGTAAGAATATCTTTACATTTGCTCTTGAGTCTTTAAGCATAAGCCTAGAAATTATTCCAGGTTCATTTAGTAGATTCCTTATCACAAACCTGGATAACCCCGTCAATAAGAAATGGTAATTCAAGAGTACAGTCTAGGTGCAAGTGGTACTTGTTTACAGGTTGGTCATCGTTTGAGAACCTCTTTTATTGTTGGAGACAGGATTTGTTTATTTACTTATACCTATGTATGTATGTATGCATGCATGAATATTAAAACAAGATATCTTATAATTTCTTGGGGACCTCCCTGGTGGTGCAGTGGTTAAAGTCTCAGCACTATCAACCTACCTTCAGGCTGCATTACATCGCTAGCCAGGCTGGTGCAGTAGACCACTCCTGTGTCACCTGCCACTCCCCTAGCAGTGTATTTCAGTAGAACCGACTTTTCTGCTACCCACTCTGTTTCTAGTGAATTCTCTCATCCCCTACATCTCTGGTCTGTACCCCAGTTCTTGTATGCATAAATAAATAAATCATTTTAAAATGCCTTACAAGTTCATACTAATTTCTCCAATTCAGCTTCAGATTACAGGGAATTTTTATTTATCATCTTCCATATTTTATTTCTTTCATACTAAGTATCCTGCTTCTTAAGTCTATAGAGGATGATAGAATTGGATAGTCCATAATTACAGATGTGCTTTATCCCATAGTATTTACAAAACCTCATAATACTATTACTATGATGTTGGGGACTGATCCCTATCACGGACTGTCAAGTGCGAGCAGTGTTGGTGAGTGGAGATTCCTAGAAAGGGGGAAAAGGGGAACTGGTGTGAGGAAGACACAGGAATCAGAGTTGGGTGCAAGTCTTCCTGCTCTGGTTTCAGCAGAGGTTTATTTTATACATTTCAAGCAAGCAGTGGGATAACATTAGCATATGAATTGGGCTGAGCAATCACCTTTTTTCTAACTGTTTGGGGTGACATATTGACCTTCAGGAGATTATAACATTTATTATTCTTAAAATTAATCAGTGAAAGGCAAAACAGATACATAAATTTATAAAATTTAAGGTTAACATTGCTATATTTACCACAGTGATGATTGACTAAAATAAAGTCCTTTAAACCCTAATTACTACTTAATGACATTCATTCTCATTGAGATATCCCATAGGGTAAAGTAAAGTGAGGGCTAGGATGGAGAAATTTGCTTGTAAATCAGTCACAAAAAGAGATACTGTAAAGTTCCTTAAAAACTGAATAGAAAGATTAAATGAATTTCCTTATTTAAAGACTAACAACAATAGAAAGCTTAAGTAGTTCTTTAAAAACTGAACAGAGGAGACTTCCGGAAGATGGCAGCAGAGTAAAGACGCCAAGATCACTACGTCCAGGCTTGCATAGGAATTGAGTACTGAAAACAGACTATAGACTTACTTACTGAGAGTTTCAACCCAAATGAAAACCCCCTGGACTCACTAGAAGGTAGATAACTGAGGGGGAATTGGTGATTGGAACCCAGGCATCTGGCAGGCTGCAGGAGCCACTTTGCCCCATGCTAAACCCTGGAGGTGAAGGGGGACGACTCAGCTCAGTGAGCGGAGCCCAGGCTAGGGAAAGACTGCAAATCTGATCCGCAACACCTGGGTACAGGGGAAAACCACTGAAACTGCAGACCTGATAGGGAGTGCCTGAGCGCCACGCAAAGCCACTGATCAGCTCAACCAGCTCGGAACGGGCAAGATGGCAGCAGAATAAAGATGCCGAGACGACTACATCCAAACTCGCACGGGATTATATAAAAACAGACTATAGACTTACATGCTACGACTTTCAACCCAAATGAGAATGCCCTGGACTCAGTAGAAGGAAGATAACCGAGGGAGAATCGGCGATTGGGGAGTCCCCATAAGGGAAGCCGCACAGGCAGGATTAGCTGAACCCTGCAACTCTGATTGGGGAATGCCAGTGGCTTCCTACTCCTTCAGGTCCTTTAAAAATCTAGGCGCCCAGATGCCAGGAAGCACTAAAGAGGGAAACTGCCTGAGGCAGCAGCTGCAGCTGCTCAGCAGCTTTTTGCTCCAGCCCTGATACAACCCTGGAGAAAAACAGACAATTCAGCTAGGGAGAGGAAACCAAATTGTGGGAAAAGGCTGCAGCTTGGAACCAGAGACCCCAGGATACACCGCAGAAGTGCTGCTGACCTTTTCCCCAGCCCAGCTGCAGATTTGTTGCCATCCTTTGCCCCAGCAGCCCCAACAAAGCCCTGGATATAAAC